AGTATACAGAAACCATTGGGAATCTCATTAGCTTCCTCGGAAATCTCATTTTGCCCTCAACACATGTTGATCATTTGCATATTTTCCCACGCTGTTTTCCGTATTCCCTCAGAGTCATCCCTTTCCTACTACGATTCTGTCTCGGTGAGTTCCATTACGGCCAAAGAGCCACACCCCTGCTGCCCGGCCAGCATCCAGCCAGGAAAAGCGTCGGTGAGACTCCATTGCAGAGCAGGTGAACCCATAAGAAGCTTTCTATTAGAATCTGCCCCTTCTGATGATACCAGTGACACTCAAAGTCCTCTTTCTAATAAACACAACTCGGTAAGAACACTTCCCACAACCCTGCAGTACTAGCGGTCGTCGTCGTGTTGTATCAGCCCTCAGTCGTTTTTGAAGCTTTCGATGTATTAGCGTCGGAATCTCGCTACAATCACTTACACCAAGTCGCAGGTTGGGTTGACCTCGACAACAAGGAAGTGTGGGAAAGGTAACTTCTTCGACTTGGCGGCATCCCATCAGACTCCCACAGGTATGTCCGCGATGTGCTCGACGGCTGTGTCCAGTCCGGAGACCGAGTTTTTGAAGCTGGATGCGGTGTATTGGCCTTCCTATCGGCCGCGCTCGCTTTCATGTAGTCACCAGACACTCTTGTCTTTACTACTTCCTTTCTGAAAAGGCCCGACATCACCATCGGTGGCTGTGATGGCGCCCCCAGGACTGTGAGGCTCGTAAAGAAAGAACTAGCTCCACGCGAGTTCAGAGACAACTTTTTCGTTGGTATGTTAAGTCATCATAATTCCGCTACATTTTTCTCAAGGTATGTTGCCGGATAGCTTAAGTGGCGTCGCTGATGAGTCGTGGGATGTTCTCATCTGCAACAGCGTTTTTCAGTAGGCTTGGTACTCTCATTCACTTGCTCCTTTAGGAAGTGCTCAGATATTTCGCTTCACACGATCAAGCTTTGGAGACCGTTAACGAGATGCTACGTGTGGCGAAAAAGTGGGTTATCATTGCTGATGTGTGTTGCGAGAAGTATAGGCATCTTATCGAAGGTAACAACAATGATCGAGATCTCCTTAAACATATAGCAAATCTCATATTTGCATTCAGGAGCTGTACGCACCATGGACTGGACCAAGAATCTCCCTAAATATCGTACATACGAGAAGACTTGGTGGGATCAGTTTGACGACCAGGGTCATCTCGTCTCTATCCGCCATGTTAGAGTGAAGGAGTGAGTTGTGGTCAGCTAGCAGAGTGGCTTATATGCATTCTGACAGGTATACCAGACGCCAGCAGCGCTACGTGGTTTACATTGAGAAAAACGGCAGAAAATAAACCGGAAATGTTAGTTTGAAAACTTTGCCTAAATGGGTCATTTTTTTGTCAAAAATAAGTTTCATTCAACTGCTATGGAAGGTTTGCGGTGGATAGTCTTCATACTCGTCTTTTCGGTTGTGGGTAACCTTTCAAACGCTTGGAAAGTGAAACACTGTGGGGGTCTCTGTTGAGTCATGCATACCTACATGATGTGACTGTGAGGATCCGAACTACTTCATAATGAAGCATAAGGTTCATGTGTCAACTCGAATGGCCAGCTGGTGGAATTTTTTCTACGACGCTCGCGAACACCAAATGGGGAAATTGTATCAATGACGAAACTCAAGTTCTCTATGATCGTATCAGGGAGACAATGTGACCATGTCGCGTGGCGCGCGAGGCTTTCCCCACTTTTTTGGATCCAAGCAAATGCATTCGGCTGCTGCTGGTCTAAGTTATCATATATCGGATGATAAGGCAGCGTATATGTCTGCTGCTAGTCTTTTATACACAACTGCCAGTCTGAACCGCGCAAAATGAGCCCGGGTACTGTCCCAAATCGGAACACGTTGGTCATGCGGGAACAGGCCTCCGAACACAACTAAGCAACCTGGTTCTCCGAGCTCGCCTTTGAAGAACAAAGTTTGATGCTTGGCATTGCTAATCATTCTCAATGGCATGTCTGCGGTAGACAGAAGCCCCATGGGGATGCTTCTGTCCACCGCCTGCTTATCGTTGTTGGAGTTGGGTTAGAGCCAATGATTTCATGCTGCCACGAATACAAAGGTTGTGCAACAGTATTCAAGCACTTGCTGATCATATGCTCTAGCCACTAGCAACGCGAACACTACAATCCTACGGCCCAGGGTTAGTGTAAAATACGTGTCCATGTATGCAACAACTGTGACAGCTAGTCGAGGAGGCAACTACTCCTCCAGCATTCTCGTGTCCGCATGGGGACCGTCGCAACTTCAATATCCCTTCTGAAGGAGCAGCCGCCTTGTGCTCCAGCACTGCACTTTCTTCAAAATCTCTGAGGCATTGGACGAGGTAAGAGCATACACTCGTCGTTACATACTTGATAGTCGCCTCAGAGGATGAAGTATCCTCAAAATCATCATCATAGGAGGTGTCCGATTCTATCTCCTCCGACAACGTCGTTGGAGGGAACATCGGAATGCTGACGACGATCGTATAACCGTGACTTCAGTGACTTGAATGGTCAGAACACCCACACGGAACCGTCCTCAGTTTTCAAGTTTATCGTGCTCATTCTCCAACCAGACGGCTTCCTCTCATTCAAACTCGGAGGTTCTCGATCTCGACTGTTATCATTCATCTGCTCTAGCGCCGATTCGATTGGACTCTCGATGGCAGATGACTGCTCGGGCATCCCCGCAGCATACGAGTTTCGCACTGAGATTCGGCTCGAACACTAATATTCGAGCATTCTTACTTTCACACGGTTTCGGTCGTCTAAGACTTGTCGGATCAGCAGGCCGTCGACTATACAGGTCGAACCCACGCTCTCTCGCTACGATGTCGCCATCATCGACAGTCATCCTACGTCGATTTCCAGTCATGGTTTATGTACTATCGCAACTGTTCACCTCCTCGCAATACGCCGCTTCTGCTCCACCAGGCGCATATATTTTGCACGTGTGGGCTTGTCGAACCTCTGCCGATACCTGTGGGAGTACGAGCCCCCACCCGTCTTAGTAAGGCCGGGAGATCCTGTCATGCAGCAGTGGCCTTGTGAGTGTCCTACTAGACACCAGTGGGAGCATTCTAAGCATCGTATCGTGCTGGCGAATACACCCAATGCGTCGATCGTCGGTTCCACCCTGATTGCACTGAACGCGATCGGATAGCTCTGAATGCTGACAGGAGTGGTCATACACGATGACATGGCAGACAACATGCTTTGACTTTTCGTTTGCATCTCAGCCATCCTGAGATGCAGATCTCAGTGCATGTCGATGCTCGATCGGAGATCGCCGATACCCTTGGGTGTACGAGAACATAACATTGTGGAAGCTGAGAGCTGGGCGATTTAAGGACGAAGAATGAAGCTTTTCCCTCGTAAGCTAATAGAGTTGAAAGTTTCGACTTGAAACCAATGAGGCCAAAGTTCCGAGGAACAGTTTTTGAGTCGAAAATTCGAACTTCGACGACACGGGACTGCCGCGAATGGACGCGTCACTCAAGGGGGAGAAATTCTTCACTACGATCTGCTACTGTTACTAGCCAGGCTCCAGTGGTGCCTGTCTCAGGCAGGGTGGCCCGAATTATTTCATTGGCAGGCCAAGCGAAAAATTATTTTCTGTATTTTTCTTTCATTCTTCCTTCAAACTTCAATTTTTTCTCCGAACGGAATAGTTTTTCTATCTTTCCTTCCGCGTCCCACCCTATCTGCCTCCCCCAGTTGTGCGACGCTAGTGAACTGAAGGTGCAGCGGGATTAAATGGACATTACTCGCATCATCCGTCTAAATCGAGATGCAGCAAACGCCAACTGAGAAAAGTGAACATACATACGTGACAATAATTGACATGACATACATTGACAATGTCAATTTGACATATGTCATGCGAACATACATGACATATGTTGCTCAGCGGCTGAGCAACATATGTGGGATGAGCCTCAGCCGGTTCAACCAGGTCAACCAAGAGTTGCAGCATCCAGTTGAAGGTGGGGCTGCTCATAGAGACTCTATGATAGAGTTCTGCGAGATCCCCGAGCTGTCGCGCCCATATTCATTCTCCTCATAATTTATGAGGATTAATTTATGAGTCATAAACTCTTTCGAACGACACTCCCAAACGGGTTCCATTACAATTCGGAAAATCCAAACAACTGAGAAGGATAGTTACTAGCTATCCCGAATCAGCTACTAACGATATACGATCTGATTACAGTAATCAATTAGTAACTAAAATGATGCCAGAAACGTTCGTTTTGGGGCAAAGAACTTCATTGCTTCCAATCGGGCGATTCGCACATCTCTGATTCTGGTGGATAACACTTCTTTGGAAGAAGTGTTATCCGCTTGAATTGGCTCGATGAGAGAACAACTCGTTGGAGACCCGTCAGCCTAGGCGAGAATCTCATCCGCTTGAATTTACCATGACACCAAATTGGTAGTTGTTGGCAGCACCCTCATCTGAGCTATCCTCCGTAATTGACGAGCTAGACAGTGACATGAATGTGAACTCAAGGTAACCAAAACCTAGTCGAAAAAAGAACGAGACGCCTGGGACCGTCCCAGTGGGACGGTGACGTGCTGACTTGCCAGTGACTAAGTTACGTCCCATCACCCAGCACGTGTCGCACGCCCTAGCCACGTTACTAGGCTAGTAATGCTAGCGCCACCAGCCGCTGGTGGCGCCACGCCAGCTACACGTCTCCGCGTTATTAACGCGGCGCTCCAAGGCTTGCACGCCAGCTACGGTAGTTGATTACAGCGTTCGCAACGGAATAAGAGAAACGGAGACTGTATCCTGCCAGGATACATGAACACCCCACATGCCATGGTTCTTACAGAAACCCAGGGTAATCCTGGGTGATCGGTTCCTTTCTTCATTAAGTTTTTTTCCAATTTTTTTCAGGCCCGTTTTTTAGTGCTTGATACACTCAGTGTGTCGAGGGAAAATCCAAGACAGTCCGCTGCGTGAATGTGCGTCCGTGCAAGTCAAGCCAGGTCACCCTTGTGCTCATCGAACAAGTTGGTGTCCAGCACTGTGGTGCTGGGTGTCGTTGTCGTCGACCCTCTCATCCCACCGGGGGCTTGCCTGGTAGGAACGTTTCCTCCCTGGCAGATCGATTCGCGACTCGAGCTCTTTTCCCCATTGTTACGCTAGGTCGCGGATGGAAGCCTGGGGTTTTTAATGCGAAAAAACGGAATGAAAAAATGGAAAGAATGGTTGCTCGTGAGGATAACAATATTTTCCCTTCAAATGAGACTACCCACCTATGTGACGACTTTCATCATCTTCTTTATAGCCTGTCGTCCAATCGTGAACGGCACCCGTCCGGGGGGGACATCTGCTGCGCTTACTCGGTGATGGTATCATCTACCGCGAATTTCAGGCTGGTGATGACACCAAGAAGGTCGGCACATACTTCGCTTCTCGCTGCAAAACGGTTCCATGTTTCGTCGCAGTCGACACTTCTATTAGCAGCAAGGTGAGTTTATTCCCGACGGATTGAATGTTTGCGAACGCCCTCAGGGCGTCGCCCTACAATAGGACCTATCATCGTAATGCTATCATCTGAATACGTGGAATATTCGTGGTCTGACCAAATAATGCATTATTCCGTGTACTGCATTAGGAGTGAAAATCACAATGGGTTTGCGCTCATTCAGACAGTCGTCGGCCTTGTTTTGATGCACATCCCTGCTTCCGATCTCGATGAAGAAGTTGAGAAGGCCATCGATGAGCTCATGTGAGCCGGAAGTCTGTCATCCTCTAGCGGAAAAATGCTCTTCCTACATATAAATCATATAATAGGACTTGTATCATGCTACAACAGTCATGAGCTTATCTCGTAAGTGTTTGCAAAAGCCCTCTTACAGGCCAGATCCGAGCAAGAAAAAGAAGAATAAAGTTATTGGTTACATAGCCTACGTAGGTTGGGGAGTTTCAAGTGGCGATCGTTGAGTTGACTATTCTCGAATTGCAGGTTATAGTAGCTAAAGATAGACAGGGGGAAAGAATAGGGACGAAACTCCTCGAGGAGACCTTCCACGAAGTAAGAATATTCCGTAATTCCAATTACTAATTCGTGAGAAATCTCAAATAACTTGAGTCAAATTCACTGTGCACTGACAACACTCATACTTTCATCATCAACCTGTAGTTGACGAGCACCAGCTGACTACTTTCAGCTCGCCAGATCTCGACCTAACCTGGTGGCCATGTATCTGATGGTGGCGATGAGCGACGAGCGAGCCATCACCTTGTATGAGAAATCGGATTTCCTGAGGCTCTCATGTGAGTTGTTTGGAAGGCGATTAATTCAGCTCCTCATAGTCGGACTATGATAGTCCCCCGCTAGTTTGCGCTAGCAATTCGCAGCCGTCCGAGCGTAATGCTTTCATGCTTTCTCTGGGTGTGTACCATGAGTAACGTATCTCAGATCAAACTCCCGAGTATTACTACTATGCGCGTTATGATATCAAGTAGCGGAGTTTGGCAACGGAGCCGTCAATCTTCGGAAGTAAGTCCACTCCTCTTAGTGTCGAGATACTCTTAGCACCGTGCTACTTATCATCCCCATTTCAGCATCATGATATCAAGTCTGCGAATTATCTACTGCGTGGCTTGGAGTATGTCGACCGAGGCACAAGATCATCCACTCGATGGGACAGGACTCCGAGTCTTGCTTGGTCGGTAGACTATTTTTTCCGTTTCAATATCTCCTTCTTTCTCATTCATCTCTCATCCTTATTTGCATCATTATTAGAATTCACAACCGGAGATCTGGCATCTCGCTACCCCAAGCTTGATCGTAAGTGTTACAGAATTTCGTATCATCTGCCTTTGTTGCGTGAGCTGTCCTAACTACTTATTGAAAAATGGACAAGAGGAAGCGGGTTGGGAGATACTCAAAGTGTTGTCACATGACAACCCAGAGAAGACATCACAAACTGACCTTGTCGCAGAATTAACTTCTCTCGGACTCAACCTCAATGGTGGGAATGCGTTCATTCCTCAAGAGACTCACCGCTCCTCATGAATTATCATTCTTAAAGAACTTTTCACTTGAGGGAGCACCTTTAGAGTCCATGCTACTCAAGAAAAGGACGACGTAAGGATCGCTAACTCATCCCATAGTCGACGAATTGATATCGTCGACTTGGGCGACGTCAAGTTCAATGTTACTTCAACGAAGTATGCTAACGCTCATTCACGTGTCAGACGACAGCACCAGGACAAAGCCTACCAATGCTCCACGATTGAACTCTTTTCCCTTGTGTTCATCCAGTGTGTGCTAGTAGAAGCTGTCGTACCTAGCTGATGATAGGATAATATTCAACAGGAAGAAACACCGCGAACAAAATTGCTCACCATCAATCCTATGTACAGTATACTCCCGAACAAACTCTCCTGTTTCCGAGTTATACAAGAATACGTGATCAGCGATCGTCTAACACGAACCCATGGCTTTGCTGTTGGTGTGTTGCTGGCCTAGTAAATCAAACGAATCAGTAGCAGCTTCAAGGAAGGTAAAACGTAAGCTTTGGTGTTCCAGTTCGGAATCGTCCTCCTCCGAGCAGGAGGACGACATCGGTTTCCGGAACTGTGCGAGCGCTGTCGCATGCTGAAACGTTCGGAGGAGTTTTCCCGCTCAGACGAAGTTCTTTAGTTTACAGATGGTCATGGCACAGATACCTTAGTTACTAAGGTATCTGAATAAGTGTTATATCAAAGAGGATGCTGGAATATTGTTGTCCCCCCTCTAAGTAGTGATACTCACCTGATCAAATCGCTCACTTCATCATATCCCCATCCATGAGATTTGTCCTGCCAATGATGTGACCACCACGATTGCGTAGCGTGTTCTCGGCGCAATTATCATCACACAATGATGTAGTCACGAAATTATGCTGGTGATTGGGATCCGCCTCCCTCCTGTGACTGATGACTCGACCTGTGAACAGCCATCAAGTAGGAAAAGACGATTTAACCAACTCAATGAACGGATTGTGTGCAGCGCGACTGTGCACGCATACACATAGTAGCGTGCGATGCGCGCACAACGTAAGAGTTATCGGACAAATGACATGAAATAGGGAAACATTACAGCAACCATGAAGCTCTGTCTAATCACTGAGAATCTGCAGTTGTGTTGGAAGCCGGCCACTGCCAACTCACATGATCTAAAATAGCAGCAGTATTGACAGGTATTCGGACGATCGCTAGCTCCAAGATCCATGTCAGGATCTGGACACCGGTCCAATGGACCGTGTCCATATAGAGTTATACTATAACTCTCGATGAATGAGTCTCGTCTTGGATCATAACACTCGAATTTACCAGAAACTTGTCAATTCTCGCCTCCGATGGTAGCATTATATTGATCGATAATCGATCATCGATTATTTCGGCTCAAGTCTTTGAGTAGAAGCGATTGGGTAAGGATGATCTCGTGGCCCTGGCAGAGTCCCTTCTCCAGGTCACGGCAGAGTATTTTATAAGGATTGAATAAACTTCTTCTGAAGGCGCAAAACTAATTTCCGTGAGCTCCGTGGCACGCACGGAGTCCGTGCGAAATTAAAAAACTTGGGCATATCTCTCTACTCCAATACTTATTGTAAATATGACGGGGAAAATGTGTTCGAATTCCATTGTGATACTCTGCGCTTGCAGGGTCTGCGCACGCGTGCAGCGTTCATAATTCACGAAGTCCTCACGCGTGAACAGACCGCACAAAATGTAGATCTTTTAGAGCAAGAAGAATCTAAAACTTCTAAACGCATATTGAAGTCTTTGAAAAACTGGCCTGGATTTGGGGAAAACTTAGTCAAAACCCGCTCATCGAATACTCTGCCTGACGGGGATCCATGTGATTTCTACTTTGATCTTGTCCTCTTCACCCATACACTCATCCCGAAAGCGCATTCGCGGACTGCCGTTCATTTCAAGTATCACATTTGCCGCCAATTTTGTTTCCAACATAATATTGCCGACATTATACAGAGCGAGTTTTCTTTGTGTGGTACTTCGTATGTGTTTTTCTGGTTGATCGGCACTGTTACTTCACATATTGCATTCCAGGGTAGCATTTACTTTCCATTCATTTCAGCTCCGCCGAGCATGTCTATCAAGACGTGTGATCCATGCGTTGAGCGTCTGCAGAGAGTCTCCATTCAGAGCCCCTGCACTACTCCGACATGCTCTGAGGGCTGCTCTCGACTACCTCATTTGAATCCACCCAAAGAGGAGCGGGTTCTGGCTCCGGCGTCTGCTCTGGTCTCGCCAAGGAATGCGATATCTGGCCTATGCAGATCATTTGGTGTTCGAGTTCGTCTTCGAGACACATTTCTTCAGTTCGAAGACGCTACTCAAGATTCTGCTGAGATTATAGGTAGAACAGACAAGTAATAACCACTGTATTGTGACCTCATTGTGTGTTTGCATTCGCCGCTCAGATGCTCCGGATTGATTCGAGCTGCTTCCGACCCTGATGTTCGCGGTCTCGAGCATAAGCGGTGGTTCGTACCTGACGGTCACCGCTGGACAACAAAAGCCGAAGAGCTGTCCGTTGAAGAGAAAGACAAGGCAGGCTCGAGCCATCATCTGTTCTCGACACCCATCGAAATGGTCTTCGACTCCCTAACGACGGAGGATTTGTTCGAGGGCGATGATTATTCTCCCAGTGAGCAGACTCCAACTGCGATGGTAGACTCGTCTGCTTTGAACGTCTACCGCGAGAGGGAAGAGAACTATGGAAAGGTTTCTGCTAATGGTCCACGAGAGCACGGATGTGGTTCACGACCGGTCTCAGTGCACGAGGGCGGCCAGAAAAATAAATCAGGGATATCACTCGGCGCCAAAGACGATGTCGAGATGACAACTGTTATGATTCGAAATTTTCCCCGTCATCTTTCGCAGCAAGATATTATTGACACAATTTTGCTCCCCAGGGGACTCATTCCTGGTGAAGATTTCGATTTCTTCTATTCGCCTATGAATTTCCGAACATTGCAGAATGCTGGCTACTGCTTTGTCAACTTCTGTCACTCCGCCAAGGCTCAGCGATACGTCGAGTTTCCCAACGAACACAATCTAGAATGGACAGTATGCTGGGCACGGGTACAGGGTCTAAGTGCTAACTGGAATCACTACAAGGACTCTCCCGTAGTTCAGATGCCGGAGGAGTACAGACCCAAATGGTTCGCAGAAGACGGTCAACTGTTGGACTTCTGCGATGTTGAGAGCGCAGATAATGGTCGAGAAGGCTTCTCCTCACAGGAATGCCCCGCTCCTCGGTTTATTCCGCATCAACGTGATGACAACGAACCTGGCTCTCCTGACCAGCTTTCGGGTTCCGAAGGCGAACTGCGGTGGTCGCATAAGGTGTTTGTTGGCGGACTCGATGCAAAAACGAAGGCAAGAGATTTACTATCATATTTTTCTCAATTTGGGGATGTCATTGACTGTGTGGTGAAGAGCAATACCACAACTGGATCGTCCCGCGGTTTCGGCTTCTGCACCTTCATCTCCCCCGAGGGCTATTCTAACTGTCTCATGCGTCAATCTTGCCACCAAATACGAGGAAGGAATATTTCTGTTCAGCCCTACTCTCGAAAGCGCGGAATCCGTCGTCACTCGTGATTACTCACATTATCCCAGTGGGATGATCCCACCGGTCCCATCATTAACATTCCCTTTCGCTCTCAGAGCCTTCTCTCGATTATTCTCATTATGAGGGAACGTGATTTGATTTGTCGAATATGCTAAGACAAACCACAAATCGTCGCACCCTTAATGGGATCGAGTGATTAGAATAACTTTTTTTGCCGACTCTGACTTCAATAGTGTTTCTATCGCTATTCAGCATATCTGGTAATGATCGTTCTGGGCAGTTGCGTTACGAGACAAGTGGAATAGGTCATCACTACTGTTTCGAATGAGCCAGTGAAATTAATCTCAACTCGAGTGTTTAATTTTCTAGCGCATATCGTTATTAGGTTGCCTATGAGTTGAGTAACTTTCTTTTGGCGACTTTGTGACTCAAATGACTGAGATAGCACGTCACTAGAGTATATAATATACTGTATATCACTAGATGAGCGTTTTTATGAATATTGTTACGATCTCGGTATGGAAACCGAAAATCTATATTGAGTGCGGTACGATTCTCATAAATTACGGCTGTAGGCAACGTGACACAATATTCACAACAGCGTTCTGGAACTGAAACGATACCCTCTTCTCGCAGACAGTGCTCTTCGCTGAGTAATCAGCCATCGACAATTCAACCACACCAAGATCAAATAGTGATGTGAAGTAAGTTAGGTTCATTACAGCTTACGGTTGACGGAGTCGTAATCGTGAGAACAATACGCAATCCGAGCCGGGGCCATCTGTCCCAGAATGTTGAGAGATACGGCGGACTCGCACGTTGCTAGAGTGGGCCTCTCTGAGTGGCTGCCGGAAGGGAAAATAGAGTTTCTTCCCCTTGTTGGGATTCCCAACTGGAAAATGGAGGAAAATGGAATATCCAGTTCTTCGGAGGCTAGAGAACATGCCAGGGTCAACCTGGGTATGACATGAGATCCTCAAACATTGTCGTGGCGCAAGACTCGCGCCCTTAATTGGAACCCCATGGCCTGCTTTTCAGGCATCGCCTGACACTGCCAGCGTGCGTCCACGCTAGAAATGATTCAAATCACAATATACCGCTCCCCACACTTCGCTCTCTCGGCGACTAGTTGTGTGGTATCACCAGTTTCCTTATATCCCAGTGGTCAGAATAGTGTGACAATGAGTAGGTGATCGTTTTATTCTAAGCAGGCTACTGTACCATGAGTTTACTCCTTTGAAAGAAGTAAACTTAGGCTGTGGAACTGTGAGAGAACTCACCAATGCGCGGATCACATCCTCCGATTCAGCTGGTCTAGATCTCCAGCAGTATCTCATATTCTCCGAACTAACAATAGATAACAATGATATAACAATATGTGCGGCCTACAAAGTTGGTCCTCTCCGGCAGCGAAACGCTCGAAGGCTCGCTCCCCCGCACGCTTCTCAGATCCGGAAGGATAAATATACCCAACAACAGTTACCAATATATCATCTAGGTTTAGTATATTCAGCTAGTGCAAAATATATGTTTGATAACCGATCTCCGGTTCCGTCACTCGAACTCGCGAGCTGACTCATCGCATAACAACAGGCACTTTCGCTCTGTGCCTGAGCGCGTGCGTGCATGGAGAATTATTCTGGCTTAACTACGGAGTGGCCAGAAGGCCACCAGATGGATCAAATGACTCCTCTGTACGCCTAGGTTTCCGCAGAAGAACTCGATTATGCAGTGAACAGCTCGACAAGATATGCACGAAAACCTAAAGTAACGGAAAAATGTCCAGCCCAGTGATCGAACCTAGGACCTATGTCAAATTCATTGATCGAACCAATAGACGTGAACGAGCCTTTGTGAGCTCCGACCCTCCGTCACGAAGGCCTAGTGTATAATACACAACTTCCAATTTATTGACAACAAAATGAGATCATCAGCATCTGAAACTTCAGTAAAAATGCCAAGTACACAACTCCACGACGACAACCGTTTGAAGGCAACTAGCAGAACTGAAGCAAGCTAAACACATCAATCTTCTCAAATGAGCGGTGCTCGAAGATGATCATTAGCGACGGAGTCTCTTTTAGCGGCTCTCCTCTTCTCGACCAGCATGCCCACAGCGACTCCAACAACGGCAAAAACAACACCAATCACGACCTGTCAAATCAGAGTAAAACTGAATGCTTGCTAAATTAACTTACTTCTCTTCCCCAAGAATTTCCATTAGTAGGAGCAACCTGGTCAATTCCAGTTGCGGACGCTGACGTGCCCATGCTCGACATCATCTCAAGAGCTACAGGCTCAGCTAAACGCCAAAAATGTAACAACGACCGCACGCTTTCAACAACCTACCAGTCACCCTCCGATCGAGAAGTTCTTTCTTCGTCTTCTGCAAAGCTTGGACAATATCAAGATCAGCGCATTGGCCCATGCTCTCGTTGTCTAACCCGCCGTCCAACACGAGGGACTCGACATCACTGCAGCCCCACTGGCTCGTCTCTTTATTGAAGGACTGATCAGAACGGACAGGAGTTACACGAGCGACGGCCTGCTGACCAACTCCACCTTAGGCAGTTTATACTCAGGCTTGACATAACCCGGCGGAGTCGACTGCCTATTGATAGGCGCCTCAGCTGGGGAGACGTAAATGGGATGAATATCATTGGTGAAGCCGATCATATGGGCGTACCTGAGGCCATCACAGTGAACATAGTAAAACTGTTGTATTATATTCACTCAATCGGCGGAGATGTTGTACTACAACAACACCGCAACACACTGAACCCTATCTTGATTGCAAACCAAGGAATCCAAAATAGCACTAAGCCACTGCAGGATGCCTCACCAGTTGGGAACTCCAAAAGTAACACCAAGGGCCGGCTCAGTATCCTTAGTAGGGAGTCTATTATAATAGCCATCATTATACATAGCGATCAGCTTCTTCCCCATAGACCACCATTCATCAACGACATATTTCTGTAGCGCACTCTGTGCCTTCTCAACTGATTGAATGACAGTAGCACACTTTTCACAGTATCTCCTGCGAGGCCTACCTTTTTTGCTGGCATTCTTGGCGGCCAACTCGTCCATTTTAGCCAATTCTATATCCACCAAATCCTGCATCTTTTGGCGCATAGGAAAAACGACCTGGAAGAAGGTAACGATGATATCAGCACGCATATAACTCCATATTGTTGCGCATCACTCGAGAACAAAAGGGAAGAAAAATACAATGGTACTCGCGAAACTTGAACCACCACAAAAAGGAAGGACAAGAAGCACCTCTATTCCAAGAAGCAAGTTACTCAAGCTTACTCTATTCCATCGGGGAGAAGGGGTTCGAGGAAAAATATTGAGGAAAAATTTGTGAGGAAAAATACGCACATGATCAACCACATATGTTGGTGACAATATGGAGATGCTGATGAAACTCGGGGAGATTATTATCGACTCCTGCACATTTCTAACTCGATTTGTATACAAGCTTCTATAACTACTGAGGAAACTCCTAATCCCAGCTGAACAATGCAAACATATACTCCAACGCTAGTTATAATTTGTGTAAAACACTAAATAGACAATGTTCATACTGTGATACTCACTATTAATCATTTCTCTTCACTAAAAAGGATAATATTAGAGTAAATGCTGGAAATCGTACATGTCGCTTCAAGACGCTCACCTGTTCGCTCATATTCTTGAAGTTCATATTCAACCAGTTGCTCACAAACTGGAAGGCCCAGAAAGCTGACTTGTCATCGAACTCGAGTAGTAGTCCTCTTTTATATGATTTGTCGACACCCTTCCAATCCGTGTCAGCTCGGAAAGGTAGATATACACTAGTCATGGGCTGATCCACGGCAAACCTGAAAGAAAAAATCACCTCGGGAAAAACAAACGAGCGTGTCGTACCATCCGACTGAGTCCTTCACATTAGCCTTAGGTTGACCGAAGAATGAATAACTCGTCCGTGGAATCGAAATTCCCCGCGGAATTTGACCGAAAAACGCCTTGCCGCCTTCAAGACGATACGGAGTCCCCCAAGGGCCCGCAAGCATGCCTTGAGAGAGGTCGAATTCAGTACCAGCGTAGTAGTCGCCTGAGAGTAAGAACTCACAAATTGATATCACGACCACACCCTATCCCCTATTCCCTAACGTACGACGCATATAAAGGCTTCTATTTGCATCGATAACAGTGGTACATCTAGCACTGGAGTTTCACCCTAGTGATATGAGAAAAACACTAGTGAAAAAATTATTCCACGACTACTGCATATCGCGAATATCGCGCTTCTCACAGAGTATTACGCCACCTCACGTAAAACGTCGAAACTCTAATATTCTCCTTTAATTCGAAAATCACACAAATGTCTGACCTCAAATTCTATTCCAAAACCACACCAATTCCAACTCGCCAAATTCATAACAGAAACCCTCTCGGTTAGCCTCTCCTACTATAACTTCAATAACTGATAAACAAACTACAACTGATAAATTAAACTAAACTGATTAAACTAGATTAAATAAACTCGAAAAACTGCGAAAAATGTTACGGCTATTCTTCCCAGACTCTGCTACTTACTAAAATACTGCATGAAATCCCTATGAGTCAGTTTTCTCTCCACCGGCACCGAGAAAGGCATCTTCCGCACATCCAGTTGGAATGGGATACCCATACTGGGATTAGCCAAATTAAATATTCGCCACGTCCTCAGTGCGCCATAAGCCGGTATAGGCTCTTTCTCTCCAGTGTGAAAAGTCATAGCATCAAAACCAACGACATAATTCCAACTAAGTGGTTCTTCACCATTCCATAAACCTAAGAGAAAAAACAAACAATTTCCTTTCACACCACATCCAATACTACTGCTCACCCTTCTCTTTAGTTGCCTCGCGAATTTTCGGGTTGAACAAAATGTCATCAGTGGGCTCCAATGGTAAATCCCCAATGATAAAGTTATTAGAAATAACAGCGATCTCGCCCTTAGGGACCCTTCGAGCCGCCCACACCGACTCAGTAATGTTCTTGG